CGTGAAACGACTCACGGGCTATTTTTAAATTGAAATAATTGATTAAGTTCAACAATCGCTTGCGATAATCGATTTTTAATTCGTTTAAAGCTGGATAATAATCTTATGTTATCAAAAAAGATCACTTTGGATAGGTATTTGATTTTCTTGACAACCAGTGCTTTATGACTTATTTACTATGTTTAGTGCATTGTTGGCCTAGTGGCTTCGGCGTGCGACTCTCATCTTCGAGGCCGTAGGAGTGTGCCAATGGACTTTCTGTTTATGTGCGCATTTAACACTAGCTCGTACGGTGAAGAAAAACCTCGTTTGATCCAAAAATTCGACGGCGTGTGTCAAGACCAAAAGATTGGAATTTTTTCTAATAGCCTATTAAAAAAAACAAATTACCACGAAACAGAAATATGAGGTCTAGACTTAATTGTTAAAAATTATGTATTATCTGTTATGTCCTCATTATTATTTGATACCTTACGTCAATTAATCTTCTACAAATTGTATATGCGTTTATTTTATTGTTACACATACGTGTGATGAACATTCAAATAAATACATATTTAAAAATTGTTTATTTTCAATCAAAATATCAATACATATTAAAAGCGCCATTATATATACACTCCTATAGGTATTCTAAGTGGTTTTTATCATGATAGGAAATTGGAATGAATTCTAACTAAATATTATTAACTTACGAGAGCTTATTTTGTTAATAACTGGACTAATGGGAACGTGAACACATCCTCTGTTAATGCTCTTAACCCAATTATTACAAAGTGCATTGACGCATTTCATTCCACATGATGGCGTTCTGACGTCAGAATTGTCCTGCATTCATTTTAATAATGAGCGTCTGTGTATTACAATTTAAATAATTTTAAACGAAAAGAAAATGTCGATTAACAATGCATACTAGACATTGATATTTTATGATTATTGCTAGAATAAAGAAAAAAAACAATGTTTCATTTTATTACATTTCGAAGTTGTAAGTTTAATAAATTTTGTCTGTTGTTATAAAACTGAATCTTACCACCAGTTTTCTGCATGACTGAAGAAGATGATGAGAACGTCATTACATATATATATCATATAGTAGGTACCTACAGGAGTCACAGCTCGAATATAAATCCTTGTTGATATAAATACTTTAGCAAAATTAATATATATGTATGTTACATACATACATCAATTGATTGATTACAATATTTAAGCTATGTGCATGTATGTCGCTCAAAAGACCACTCCCCTAAAATGTCGGATACATTTACGTCAATTAAGATGCGATTGAATTCTTAGCTGGTTATTTCTTAGGCACGATACTATGTTAAAAGAGAAATATCTTAATATAATGTACACTTATGAACGTCAGTGAAAAAAATGCTAAATGAAATAAGGGCGTCGAATAGGCAAAATTTAATTTGTTAAAATTACGCAACATTCTTGTAAAGACAAATAATTACAATCAATATTTCTTACTGTAAAGGTAACATTTAGCTCCCCAACTGCGAGCAATTGTTTGAAAGATTTAATCTTAACTAATGCAATTAACCTCGGATATAGGGCTTCACACGTGTCTGTTCTGTATGACCTTCAATCGAGATTTGCATAAGTTATTAGGTCATGTCATATCAATTTGTGTATAATTTAACTCTTTATCTACAATCGTCTTCGAAAATCGCATGTCAAGCCAGTGTTAGTACACGTTAGTCTTAAGTGCTAAACATTGATAAGTGAAGAAAATAGAAAACAAGAACAGAGTCTCTCCCTCTTAATAGAGGCTGTAAGTAGTGTTATTGGACACTTTCATATGTTAGTGAATTAGATTAGATTTATATTACTTCGTATTCAGTTAGGCTATATCGTAATGTTTAATGATGTCTCAGGGAAGAGACAATTTATTTAAAAAAAGTCTAACTGTCTATTAGACTAATCTTAATAAGTGTAAAACGATTTAGTTTAGCTTTGAAATGGTTTCATAGGCAGAGTTGTAGTGCGGTGGAGTACTACATCTTTATTTGTTAAACAAAGAGGCCAATACATATATGAAGACAACCATCATCACATCTCCGCTTCATCACTGTTAAACATGTCAAATAGAAAGACATCATTTAACAGCTCTTATTTAATCAGATTTAAGTTTGAGTCTATTCTCGTTTTATTTTCGCTGATCGGCTTAATTGTTAAAATTACCTTTCCGTATCATAAAAGTTGAGTTGGTAATGTCAATATCTTATACATTTCGTTGTATATGGATCCGTCTGAATTACTAATTAGATTCATAACTATAATTGAAATATACTCGACACACGATAACCCAGTATAATGCTATGACAACTAGTTTTAATTAAAAGGTCATCTGGTGTTGTGTCTAATATAATATATTACTAATACATTTGTAATACAATACATATGATTTTGAAAATACTTATGATGCATCGATGTTGTAATATAAAATTTATACGTCTGTTCAATATGCAAAAGGTCAGATTTTTGCATAAGTCGGAGATTCATAATTATTTATAACATAATGATTACACGAAAATGTTATTAGTCTTTGAAATAGTAAATTAAGTATAAATAATTCTAATCGTTAAGAAAGAACAGTGTTAACTACAGCTTTCAACCTCAGAGCTAAGTACGAACATAACTAAAGAAGGCAATAAATCTATGATAACAGTAAAAAAAATAGGGAAACACTTTGGAAAAAATTTCGTGCTTTCGTTGAACTTGCTCATAATGCGGCAGGCGTCGTCAAGTCTGGAACTCTAAGTATTCAGGTCGATGCCCACTGACCGTATTATCACACGACTCGTATGAATTTAACTTTAACGCAAAAGTATTAGTTTAATAACAAAACACGACGTTACAGTTGATAGATAGATAGATAGATAACAAGCGATTAAGCCCTTAGAATAGTAACTTAATGTATTATTCTAACATTAAGTTTCGGTAAATGTTGCCTTATTACCGCGAAGTTATTTGCAATATTCCGAATAACTTATTACAAAATTGTGTCGTGTTACGGGTTAAAAATATTTAAGTGTAAAACTTCACGTAAACTAAAGACAATTCTATCTAATTATCAAGATTAAACATTAAGTTCCATAAACTTTGGTATGCAGTGTAGGCGCAGTGCCTTAAGCGTGCGACCCTTATCACTGTCGTGTGTTCGAATCACGGATGTGAACCAAACCAAAAATCGTGAGGAAACCGGCATTACTCAATTCATAAAATCGATTATATGTGTCAGACAAGGCTGATCACCTAATTGACTATGAAATAAAAATTATCGAGGATCGAGCGCCACTGGATTATTATAATAGCTTTGTAGTACATATGTAACAGGCATATAAGGATTGATCAAGATGGGCTGTAAAAGTAAAAAGTAATCGAGTGATGAAATATCATCAAATTTCATTCTGTAATTTTTTTGAAATTCGTATTCCGAAAACTTGTTTTTGTCGTTTTATTGTTGAGGTAATTTATTACAGAGTCCTTTTCAAAATAAAAAGTTAATAGCAATTTTTTTGGACGTTTGCCAATATGAAGCGTGCCATCAAGAGACGGACAGTCCGTTGCAAAAAATGGCACATTGTTCCGAAGAAATGCTGCCAAATACGGCGTTTCGTGTTCTATAAAGCGTATTGTACTCAACGTTTACTTGAAGGGGATCCTTGATTTAGTCGATGACGAAATCGAAATCAGTAGGCATAGTTTGCAGAGATTTGCATGAAACCGGTTGTATTGATCTAACTATTATTGTAGAGGACAGTTAGTTTTGATACAAGTATATATAGTTTCCAGCAAGTAACGGTATGTTTATTGTCATTGGACGTGGACACCGTGTCCGCTGAATAATGGATAACAAGTACATTCAAGAGCTCTATAATATTTGTATACTTATTACTTATTATTAGGATATTCTTAATATTATAGTAGGAGCAAAGATGGTTTTTAACCGCTGAAGTGTCGAATCCCGGCTCGTCCCGGCATCGCACGGGTAGACATTTTATTTTTATTTTTTTTAAACATTTTTTGTAGATAATGATATGTTCTTTAGTATAGTGGAATATTTTTTTGTTCTAACATCAGTAGTTTTCGCAGCGCATGCGATGAAAGATATTTTATAGGCATTTTTTTTACACCTTGGGTAACATTATTGTAGTTTTAGTAGGATCCTTATTTTTTTCTTGGAATTAAAACCTATATTAATCAGTGATAATGTAGCATTAAAATGGTGAAAGAATTTTTATAATCGGTCCAGTACTTTTTTAGCCAATTCGTTACAATCGCATACACATCTTTCGTCTTTATAATATTAGTATAGATGACTTAAAATCCCCGTACGTCAGACACAACAAATAAATTATATTAAAAACCCTAAACATGCCTTAAATCTGTTACTTTGGCTAAGGTTTCAAATTGAGTGTAGTTCTTTAGCAATTCTAATCTTGTCAAACTTCTTATATGGATTTCCATGCGAATTTATTACATTATATACTTTGTTTTACAGCAGTCACAAATCTATGTCATACCCTACAGTGAAGTGTAATTTAAATATAAAGTGCTGGTCACATACATTATGTTTCGTAAAAGAAAAGACGTATATTAAAATAGTAATAAATCCAATAGTTTAAAACAATGTTTTAACATTTATTGTTTTCAAAAATAGGTTAGCGAAATTAATTGTTCTTGCTCGGGGACAAAATGAAAACGGATGCTTTGTGAATAATTAATGTCTACCGGCGCAATAAACCTACTATGTTATGATTTGCCATAAACAGTTTTAAAATGTGTAAAACATAAGCTTTTATGTATTTTTACGTAGACATAAACGATAAGTCGTGCTGCTTAATATTTTTTCACCAATTGATAAATGCACTGTCATGTTTAGCCTGACAGAGGTACTAAGACATAAGACACTGGAAACTGATGCTATACAGAGTAGCTTATAACAATAAAAGTTAATATTTTTCCTGTTACAGGTACATTCCATAATGTTTAACTTCATAAAGAAGTCGACCGTTTTGGCAAGCGGTGACTCTGGTGGCTATGAGGAAAGGGATGGAGAAAAAGAAAGAAGGAAAAGGGAGAAGAAGGAGAGAAAAGAAAGGGAAAAGCGGGAGCGAATAGCGGCCGGGCTTGAGGAGCCTTTAAGATTGGAGGAGGTAAGTTTCTAACAATAAAAGTCAATATTAATTAGAGAGAAGTCAGTGAGTTTCTAGTAATTTTATTGGTTTTAACAACCAAAGTGGTTGTCTGTAAGTGGAATTGATTTTTATATAAATGAAGAAACAAACCTTACTTGTTTCTATATCTGGATACAATAGGTTAGGATATAATTTATATCAGACAGTTACTAGTGGCAATATGAATTTTGCTTGGATAACACGTATTTATACTAACATAAAGTTAGAAAGTTTGAATTTGACATTAGCCTCGTTATCTATTTGATTACTATTTTATCTATCTACATCATAGCTACCGATGTTAATGAAATGCCTTATCTTCTATAATCAATTAATAATTATTACGAGATAAATATAAGTCATAAATTATTATTAGATTAATTCTGAATATTTTGTATGATTTTTTAAATCACGCAAAACGGAAATAGCAATAATAATATCCGATGTTTACTAAATGTTAGGATAAAACTGATGTTCCATGGCTACTACATCCAACATTTCATAAGCCATTATAGCGTAAAGGGTAATAAATCATATTAAGTGACGTTTTATTTAAGGTTAATAATTTAGACCTTATATCAAGTCGTATGTAGCCTTGAGTACTGTCACTGTATTGCCCTTTCCGGATATAGGAGGCTCCGGTTTAGCTCAAATGTTTTGAAATACAAAGCTTTAGTTTGTAGCTTAACTCCCCTTAATATCATTAGTATCTTGAACTTTAGTTTCATACTTAATTGCTTGTGATTAAGTAAGATTTGTGACCTTTATCACTTAATTAAAAGTTATACACAGTACATAAAATATTTGAATTACAATCCTATTCAGAATATTCAATTCATCAAGCATCACGCTAAATTATAATGTATTTACTATATGTGTTATAATATCTTTTTGCGTCATTGATTTATTTTATGTTCGTATCCGCTGTAATTTATTATACAATCGCATTACAGTGTTTATTTTCTCAACTATTTTGTTTATATCAACAAATTGTGCTTCATGAGTTTCTTGGCATCAAGACGTGGTTCTAGAGTGAGACAAGTAGGTCGGTGGTCGTGTGCCGTTAGTGTTTGATGCTCAGTTATGGAAAATTTGGTTAAAGTTGAACGAAAAGGCCTGAAATTAATTGGAGTGACTCTCGGGACATTGGTGTGTTGCCCAATATTTACAAGAAATGTTGTCATCGTGAACAATATTTTCAAATACTAGGAGTTATGTAATATTTTGTAGAATACTTGAGATTATGTCACAATTTGATCATCGTTTTATAAACAACATTGCATACTATTACAGCATTGTTCCTCTGTTTACATTATAAGTAACCATTCATATATTCGTTTAAGAAAACGAGTTTCGATTATTTATGTGTACACTTTCATTAACTGCATTGCAGTCTCCATTAATTGATACTCGGTATGCAAGTTTTTGCGATAGCAGAAACTAGATGTTTCGTCACAGAAAAACAAAAACTGTATAACCTGTTGTAATGCCTATGATATCTATAGTTAGAGTAAAAAGTAATTTTTCAGGCATGTTTGACTAGTTACGACCACTAAATGTAAAGTTTAGCCAAATAGAAAAACTAGCAATATATTAGTTTTATCCTCGCATGTTCACTAATCAATCCTTACAAAGTTCATCGTTTGTTTCAGGTTCGAAGGTCTTTGAAACTCCGAGGCCGTCGTAAAGAGAAGGAGAAGCTGCCCTCTGGAATCACTGCTGATTATACGGCTTCTCTATTCGCACATCTCGAACAGGATTCGAATTATTCGAATTACCCAATAATCAATACCTCTGGCTCAAATTCGAACCTTAGTGATGAAAATAATCATTTATCACCGATTTACCCCACCACTCACACTTGGCATAAAAAAGATGGAGTCCTGCAGTCAGATAGTTCAGAGACCTCCTTAAATTCGTTGAATAATCCAAACAATGCTAATATCAGCCCACGTCAAGCCCCGAATTTACCTCCTGTACCACCACGCCCACCAAAACGAGGCATACTCAAAGGTCCACGCTTAAGCAACACTAGCTCGAATTCCCAAGAAAGTAATGTCCATAATTCAGATACCGTAGATTTCTCGAATGGTCAAGATTCGAATGTTTTGGCTCGAAATACGCAGCAAAATGAACTTATTTCTTATGGCATCCCACCCTCTAAGAGCACATCGTCAAGTGACGATATGCAACTAATTCAAAACTTTACCAAAAAAGTAATCCATAGTCCTGTTGAAACCCAATTCAAGAATTATAAAAATAATGCAAATACAGCTATAACGAAACAAGATATCGATGAAGCACCTAAGACAAATGGTAATGGTAATAGCTACCTTGGCGTAACTTCTACATCGCCTAGTGCCGATTCCCTTACCGACACCACAAACTCCTCGTTCGCCACACCACCGTTTTCAACTTCCCCTGTCGGGGAATCACAAGGATTTCACAGATGGTCCAGGACTAGTACATTTGACGACGTTTATTTACCATTACCGACAATAACGCCATTGCACTTGCCTAAACCTAGAGTTTTGACGATACAGCGTCAGAAAGCTCCAAGAAATGACTTTGGATTCAGCCTTCGAAGGGCAGTGATCCAAGAAAGAATTTTTATCGGCGACATGAAAGATTTGACAGGCACTAACAGTGCAATGGTAAACGGCGATAATAAATGCAATGGAAATTTAATGACGAGTAAATTAACATACAAAGCAGTGATCCTTGCTGAACCAGGTTCATATCCTGGTTCAAGTGAAACAGGACTGATGCCTGGTGACAGGCTTTTAGAAGTAAACGGGGTAAATGTTGAGGGTAAAAACAGAGAGGAGGTTATTGATCTTATTAAAAGCAGTCAGGATTTCGTTACTGTAAAGGTAAGAATGATTTAACAATATTTCTACCTAGTTAAACTTATGTGATAAACGTTATGTATTGTTTCAAGCAAATTAAAGTTCTGAGAGCTATACACCGTTACGAAAAATAACAGTACATTAAAGAAGTTCTCATTCTTAATGTAACGCAAATACCCGTGACTGATTTTAATGACTTACGTTAATTTAACGAAACATAAACTTTTCTATAATACCATATAATTAAAAAATGTAGTTATTCAAAAACTCTGATTTTATTGCATAACGCAATCATGGAGAAAGTTCTTTTTTTAATAATATTTAATGGTTTTCAATGCACCGTATTCACCGTACTATATTGAATCTTACTGCTTGCCGTAAGTATTACGTTTCTAACACATGGCATGACGGCCCATGATAAAACGTTTCAATGAAGAAAATAAAACCAAGGCTCTTTTGCCTTCATTTCGAGACTTTTAGATTGGTACTAGCTGACCCGGCAAATGATGTTTTGCCATGTATATTAATTCTAAGAAACATTTTTTAATTCAATAAAAAAAACTATCTACTATAATAAAACATGGGGGTTGATTGTAGAGGGGTGAAAATTAAGGGTTGTATAAATTTTTGTATGCTGTATCATAAACAAATAAAAACAAAAAAAAATTCATAAAAAACGGTTAGTTGTAACGGTAAAGTTGGAAGTCCACCCGTAACATTGAGGGGGATGAAAGATGTTGCCTGATTCGCAGACATAACCGATGTGCACACAAAATTTCACGAAAATCGGTCGAACCATTTCGGAGAAGTTTAATTTAAATTAGATAATATACGTTATTTATGAAAACAATATAACTACTAACAATCAAAATGCGAAATTATTGGTAAATTGTGAGCTATATCAATAATTGCATTATTATTTATTATAACCCAGGTGCAACCTATAGCAGAATTATGTGAGTTGTCACGCCGTCGTGCTGCAGATGGTGGTGCAGAAGTTGAACTTTCCGACAGCAACGTGAGAGGTGGTACTCTCAGCAGATCTGGAAGCAGGCGATTCATTAGTACACAAGTAAGTTATTTATTTTATATATTACTAGTTGACCCGGCAAACGTTGTTTTGCCATGTATATATTATTATTATAATATATATTATTTCTAGGAATCATTTTTTTAGTTCAATAAAAGTAGCTATCTAAAATAATAAAAAATAGGGGTTGATCGTAGAGGGGTGAAAATTAGGGGTTATATGTATTTTTGTATGCTGTATCATAGAAAAATAAAAACAATTTTTTTTAATAAATAATTTTTTTTTTTTGGGATGGACACCCCTTATCACTTAGGGGGTTGAAAGATAGATAGTAGCCGATTCTCAGACCTACTGAATATGCATATAAAATTCGGTCAATCCGTTTCGGAGGAGTATGGTAACTAACATTGTGACACAAGAATTTTATATATATATAAGATATAAACATTTAAAAACAAAACACATACAGGCTGATTTTATTAATTTGAAACTGTTGCTCCCGTCGAACCTTAATGTACGTTGTAATAAATACTGCGAAAATTATTTGTTAAATAATGTTTCCCCTCTACTTACTCCATAGTTAAAACAAAAGCACGTATTTCTAGTTAATGCTTCCATATTTGTGGAATATAAAAAGAAACAAATGTTAATAAGGTTTTTCGGTGTGTAATATTTGGACGTGTTGATTAACGACATAATACGAAGCCTAATCAAAATGACGTAAATAATTATTACATAAAATTACACTTCGCAAGTTTCAATTGTTTTCTTTTTCTCGTAAACAATTCTTCAGATTTTCTAGAATTATTTGGATTAGGTTAATTTTATTTTATAAAAGTTTGCAATATATCCTGACGCGAGACTAAACTGGATGCTGAGTATAAATTATTAAACATTCACCTCTTTATATATAAGTCACACATGACAACCCGTACCGTGTCATTTGTCATAGATACGCTTTGCATACGTTTATAATTACAATGGTATCCTTAACCTAATTAATATGTCGTGGTCTAGATTCTCTACAAGGTAAACGTTCATAAGTTCTAAATAATTGCATATCAATATAACATTGCGTTATTAAAGCCGTAATTAGCTTGATGCTGCATTTATTTGTACCTATAATGTAAAAATAAATGTTAAATTTTTCTTTATATAATGTTTGTAATTGTACCTATATTATATATACTTATGGTAAAATAATCTAGTAGTATTTCTAAACAAAAATATTTATAATGTGCGTATATTTCTTGTAAATGAAACATTTTAGAACCGCGTAATTTTATTTATGTCCCAATAGGATTTATCTATAATCTCGCAGATAGGTTTATTGAGTTGTTCCCCTTGTCCATTGGACCCTATTGTGGTGAAGCCATTAATAACATTAAGAATTAAGGGCCCATAGCCGAATAAAGTAACATGAATTTTCGATAGTATTAATTAAAATGCTTTCATTTTTATAAAGTCAAACCACCGCATAAATCGTAATAAACCCAGATAATGGCGAACGGTATAATTAATACGGTCCTTCATAAGTAATGCATTTCTCCATTGTGCCTTACTTCGTAGCTTTCACTAGTTATACACCTGTAGTCGCAAAGGACCTTGTTAACGGAGACACGTATTCCGCATAATATGCTAGCTTCCATTCAATCCAGACCAAGTGTTAGGGTGGAATACTTAAGCGCCCTCATACATTAGTACAAGCTTTGGCGATGTATTGTTTCTCAAAACCAAACGAATTTATGCTCTCTGGTCTTATACAGGATTAATCTTGCCGAAATGCTACAAGATTAATCCTGCATCGTTCCGTTACGTATGGTTATTTAGAGTAGAATTTTCTTCGGTATTTGAGAACTCTTAAATTCTACGTATACGACTCGTAGAAATTATTGCAATTATAAAACTGAAGCGTTATTTAACCAGCAAGCGAAATAATTTATTTTGTTAATGAAATATTAGTATAAGTAAAAAATTGGGAACATAAAACGGAAACAATATTCTATTTAGGTTTTTAGCGTAATAGATAATATGCGTTGCGTTGAAATTCGACCTCAATATGGACGTGTACTCGATCAGAATTATAAAAATGCAACTCGTTTGAAATTTTTATGTCTAAAGATATTTCATGGCTAACGCCTCAGGGTATGTGCGAAATATTTTAGTACGATATAACTTGTATAGCTATATTCAGTCTTCGACCCTCGTGGATTTGTTTACGGTGAGAAAGGAAAGAACAAAACTAGTCAATTCGAAGCAAAATCTAGACTTTTGGAAAAACTAGGGTTAGAAAAAATAGGCTGGTGGAATGGTGGATCCTATATAAATTTTCTGATCCGTTGTTTTTCTAAATATTTAATTCTCAAAAATTCTCTCCCGCAGCTGACAAAATCGGTCATGTTTTGATGTAAGCTTTAGTCAGGAAATTGTAGTAGGTGCACCGGAGCGCGTAAGTAGTCTAGACGGGTCATATCTTACTGCGAATGAGGCTTCCTTTGACCTGCGCAGAATAGCTTACGTTTTAGATCGTTAGACGTATGCTGTAATTCATAACAAATTCTAAAAACAAATTTGACAAAAAATAATTGGTTATGTATCGATAAATCTCGAGACATCAAAATCTGATTCAATTAAAAGTTTTAACGTCATCCAGTTATCGCAACATTTCAGAGAAGCCTACATGAAATTTTTATTCAATTGTCCAACTCAGAATGATCTTCCAATATGTGATGATTCAAAACTATTCAGATTTTTAGAACTTCTAAAAGTATCAATAACTATTAATGCCTATATAGACATAGACATAACAATAACGATTAATGCCTATATCTCAGTATTATGTTGACTATGAAATTCTACACCACTATATTGTGCAGTCATTAATTAAAAGGAAAATTATATACTACTAGGTCGGTTGTAAACAAAAAGCCAAGACTAAAAATTCAGTTTAACTTTATTTTTCTAGCCATTTTACTAACGTATATAAGTCATAGTTGCAGAATGCTACAACTATAATTTTAACAATAAATGGATCTCTATTAACATTAATACAATAAACATTTTAATATTTACAAAAAGGCCTGTTTTTTGTAAAAATAACCTAAGCAAAAATATCTAACAATTTATTTTATAGGTAACCTCCAAGGACTGACCATAATATTATATACAATATATATCAAAACTAGTGACTTTCCCAAAAATCATATAAGTATTTAGTTTAAAGCCCACTCTTAATCTGAAGACCTACCTCCGATACACCTAACCTTATTTAGCTAAGCCAGTATAGCTACCAACTACATACTAGCTTTCAAACTTACAAGGTGAATTCATTTCTAGTAATGAAACAGAGGAGTCAACCCTTAGAGCAAGCTTTAGAGTCGAGACTTAGTGCTGAGTATGAGTATGATTGCTTAGCGTTATGTCTTGACTCTGTACTTTTCTCAGATTTAGAATGAAGTTAAACTATGTAAATTTTATATAAACCATAAAAATAAAGATACCATTTATGAAATGCAATGACTATGACAACAGGCATAGTAATATATTAGTTTATATTACATAATAAGGCCATATTAGTTTAGTTCATGGTATATGTTTGGCATTACTCTATTTGATATTGATAGACCTTTATCTCTCTCTTAGTGCAAAGGATTGCTCTCATATGTCAGAATCCAATACATTTATGATATATAGTAGGTAAGTCTAACTATTTCAGACGCTAAGTCTCATTTCTAAATCTCACTTTTATAATAAACATATTAAAATAGTCACAGTTTTAACATTTTATGTATATACACATATTGTTGTCAATTGTTCTGCACATTTTTTTCAAAACTTTGCATTTCATACTTAGCTATCACATTGCACACTTCCATCTTAACCTTAGGTATTAAATTTGGTTGTAATTTTTTAACACTAGCTGCCATACTCTTAAAGAATACATCAATTTCATTTGTATTTTCTTTAAAAATTTTCTCTATAAGCTTATCTATAACTTGAGATCTCTGTTCTGGTGTTTTTGGTTCTTCAATATATCTTACTAATTTAGGCTGGCTTGTTATTATTGGTTTTGGTAAAATTTTAACAGGTGTTAAGTTTCTAGGCATTGGCGTAGATTTTTTTCTACCAGAATTCTTTCTTCCTATTTTTCGAGGAGGCTCCCCTGAATTCAATATTTGTTGAAATTTCATTTCTGTTTTTGGAAGAATTTTAATTAAATTTTTAGAATCTTCATGCTTTGGCCCATCCACAAGTGTGATCTGGAAATTACAGTAATTTTTAAAATTTATAATAGAATGTTTCTCATCTATTTAAAAACAATATGCTTTTCAATTTTGTGGTAAAAATATAAAATATATATTCTTTAGTGGTAAATTATGTGAATACCTCATAATATTCTTGATTGTCTGTAATAACTTGCTGTTCTGTACATATTTCTGATGCATCATTTATGTCATCAATGTTCACTTCCTCAAATCTCCCCTCGGAATCACTAGGGGTCCCATCAATTGGCAATGAATCAAGGAATTGCAGTTTTTCATTTATATTTGTTTTTGTTTTATGCATTGTACCCAAACGTTTACACCTCATATAGCTGTCTCGAAGACCGCGCCACCGCTTTTTGCACTCTTCAACTGAAAATGTTTTAAAAACGTTTTTATTGGAAACGCCATAACAATACAATAAGTATATACTAATATTAATGTAACAATTGCAAGAAAGTAAAAGAAGAATTGCCTTATTGTTTAGATTAAGTGATTGTCAGCTGAAGTGAAGGCAATAGCAACTTGTTGTTATACGGAAACGTCATGTCTAATGCATTTTCCTTCTTAAATCCTGCTACGTTCTCAAAATTATATAAACATGTAGTATTTTATAAGTATCTGGTCTAAGAACACAATAGATTACTGCAATCAAATGTTTTTTTTAAATTCTGATTTCTGAATACACTACAATTCAAATTTCTTTGCAGTTGTGTAATGCAGCACAAGTTGGACCAATCGGTTGACCTTACCTGGTTTTAATAATGCTTGAGCTATTTCTTGCCAAGTTGATACTCGAGCCAAAATATTTTTACGTGACGGGTCAAGAAGATTGTAGAGAAAAGTATGAGGCTTCACCAATTCAATAAGAGCAATATTTTCTTCGGATGTCCATCCAATTGCATTTAATGGCATTTTTTGCACTGTCTATAATAAATATTTGCTTGCGTTGCCTTCGCAAAACAAAATGTCTGCTAAGCTAACCATTACAATCCACGAATCACAATCCAGAGACGAAAATAGACGCGCCGCGCAACGCGACGTCACAGCTAGTCATAAGATTTCTAAATTGTGATTGGTCAAATATTTGCCAGCCAGTACTTTTTGAAGCATGAGCGACATCTAGTTAACCTCAAGTATAACGTGTTTACTTCGTTGTTTTTGTATTTTACGCTAGATGTCGCTTTTCTTATTATTACTACTATATAAATATTAAGCAGTAGTTTACGGAGTTCTTTCATTTGACGATAGATGTCCTTGTTCTCCAAACATTCCAAGTTACTATGAGGTGACTAGCGCAACGACCACATCAGTGTATATATATATATATGTTCTTAATAGTGAAGTTCTCCCATTCAAGCAAATATGAGTATTTTTCGCCGACTTAAAATACCTGTAGTTGTATATTTTTACATTTTGGTACTACATGCCGGGGTGTAGTCCTAAAACATTTAAACACAAAACGAATTTATGCATACGATGTAGGTAGAGTACTGTGATATTTAATGTGTTTTATGGGTCAATTTCGTAAGACACACAAGCTGTATATTATCAGCTTATCACCCTACAGTAATTATAAAAGCTTATAATATTTTCTAGTTTGTCTCCCAGTATCTTTTGTACTGCACTTGCGATAAGATACAGCGTTGATACTTTATACATAAAAATATGAAAATTCATCAAATAAATATTAGTTAAAGGATAGAAGGTTACGTTTTAGTTTATTAAATATTTAATTGCATTAAGACGTTCAAGATGTTCAGAAATAATCAATTGCAAAAAACCACTCCGCTTAATATAATATAGGTATATTTTAAACACGATGCTACTTATTATTGTTTAAACGATTACATTACTCTTACCTAATGAGGGTACACAACCTTTGAAGATAAAATAATACGCCGTTATAATTTATATCCCTTTTGAAGTTATTCTGGTATGCGGCACGCGCTTTGTTATTGATATTTATCGGGAATATTATTACTGAAGTATGTAAGTAGTAAGCGTCAGGATGTTCATAGACTAAAAAGAGAGAAGAATATATTTGAATAATCATGTTTTTATCTTTACATTTGCTCTACATTGGTAAGTTTATAAGTTATTAGTTGTCTTTATTAATAAAAAAATATCATATTTTTTTTTATAATCATAATTTATTTTACTGTTTTCTTTAATAAGCTGCCTTAAAGCTACAGCTAGTTTATTGTTTATATTATTCTTTAACTGCGTAAAAGTGTAAATAATTAAAAACAAAATAAACAAATTATCCGTAAATGTTTAAAGCTTTTCAAAATATTTTTATAACTTGCAGTGTTCTGTCAAATATTACAACTTAACAGAATAAACGAATTTTTATTTTTTTAGCATTATTCCATATTCTATGGCAACTATCTCGCACAGCGGTACGGCCTCATGTAGTTTAATGACTGTATGGGTAAAGTCAAGCAAAACATATACTATAAGCTTGCGTTTGTTACGTAAAAGAAAGTAGACTTTTCAAAACCATTATACCGTAAATTCTTTGTTACCACCGATTCGAAAAGAACTCTACCGTGAAATCTCAGAAATAATATTCTCTAAAGCTAAAAGGATAATTAAAAATAAATTTTTAAGTTTTTGTTATTTAGCCCCGGTTCTATGACCCCAGTTTTATCCAATTAGCAAGTCTGTAAATGTTTACTCCCAGAGAACATTAATAAATATAAATTTAAGAATGAAGCTCCGCAAAGCACTTTAACAACTGAATGATTTATAATTTGGTATATAAAAGCATTTCGGAACTGTGGGAGTATTATTTATATTTGGACGAGGGTGGGAGTCAGTGATGTGTTTAACAAGTGCCCATGCGTCAAATTTACTTCCTTGTTCCTTCCTGTATGTAAGCTGAAATTATAAAATTTATATCAAAAAAATTAATTTATATAAGAAAAGCGCAGAATCGAAATTGTCGTTATTTAATTCAAATCTATGAAGTACCAGTGTTGTCAGTCTTAATCTATATCTATAGTCTATGTTATGTACTGTAGTTATTGAGGCCCTCTTTGTCTTTGATCACTTAGTTCCCAGAAATAATCTGTGCTATTGTTTTTTTAAGGACGGCCAACCAGATCTCAATATTTATATGGATTCAAATTTCAATTAATTTAAATCCACGTTATTTTAAATGATTTCAGACGAAGAAGACACAGGCTTTGTTTAATAATCACTAATTGAAACTGATGTCATTGTTTTGTCTGCCTCTCACCGGTGGGCGATTGACATCTTCAATTCACCCATAATTGCTTTATTATATTGTTCCCGCCGCTGATTGGTTAATGATAGGTCAGTTGCCAAACTTGGTCGTATATGTGTATTTAGAATGCATAAAAGGAATCAAAAAATAAAAGTCAGTATGAACAAAGTATTTTACTAGAGTTGACCAAATCTCATAATGTAAGCCTCATTACGCAGCAAAAGGTGAAGTAACTAAGAACTATTAAATTTTAATCTAAGATATTTGACTATCTAAGACTTTGAGGTTTCACAACTAACACAGACAGTGCACGATCATAACAACTTTCAGCTACACTCTCAAATACATGCGCATACACACCCATTCACACACTCACTCATTCAGTTAGTTTGTAACACTAAATTTATTATTATCTTTTTTTAATTGTTTTAAACATGTACCACGTAATAATTGTTTTCTAGTTACCCCCACAACACAGGGCCTCCCTAGTGTGGGGACTAGCGATATATGGATTCTGTCACAACCCCTTTTGTCATAAAGTTTTTATTATCTTAATATATAAATTTCGTGTATGTGACTGAACTCCTCCTAAACGACTGGACCGATTTTGATGAATTTTTTTGTGTGTGTTCAAGGGGATCTGGGAATGGTTTAGATTCACAAATCAGCCCGGCAGATGGCACTGCAGTCGGTACTTTCATACTTTGCTTAATATCCTAATCGCTTTAAATATCATGCAGGACAACGTCTGTGGGGTCCACTAGTTTATTTATATAAATAATACATTTATATTCTCGCCCTGGTTATAAATCGAATACCTAGTGATTTCGTAAACATCACCTAATATGGCCTTCATGACAATTGATTATCGCCTAGGTGTTTCGGCGCTCAAGAGACTTATCAATTTGACTAAATTTACACACGTGATCCAGTATGTAACGATAAAAACAAGAAAATAAGCCCCGTACTCTATAAAGCTTTTGCTCCAAGTAGTTCAGTTGGTAATTAAACATTCCGTAGAAGCTATTTAGCTTTCGTATTTACGATATAGAGGTTTATTCAGCGTTGTTATTTATATATAAATAAACTGATACAATGAATTATAACAATGCTAAGTTACATTTTGTTAGTTTTTTTTAATTAGTGCCAAAACAACGATGTACCACCTACACCGGTCTATGGCCAGCTAAAAATCCAACCATTTGTATAGACTGCCATAAACCTATGGTTCCTGTAAAACTCTACGGTCATAAACTATAAACTTTGTTTCCAATTGCAATAGTTTTAGCTAAGACAATCTAGAATCCCCTAGTTCTTGAATCTAAGTTGTCAACGCAACGTGATTAGAAATCACGCGTTTAAAACTTAAACGGCTCGTAAACACCTAAACGAACCTAAACAGTTGAAAACCGCGCCGCGCCCTCAACGCACGCGCACTTGCGATCACGAATCGAATATATAAGCGATTATTTCGTGAGTGAAGTTCAGTGAATGTGATTAATTAATAATTATTGGTGTAGTTCGGCTGCGTAATCGTCTGTCAATGGTGACAGATCGATGTCTGGATTGGCAATTTTATCTTTGAACCAGTAGTACGATAATCTATCTTTGCAATAGTGAAAGCTTCTCATTAAATCCGTTATTTCAAAATATTATTTATCATATACAAAAAAAATATAAATTAAAATTTTGCGAAATATTATTGAAGTGCATTAGCAAACACATATATGTAATTCTAAATTCATATAAAATCATTAAATTTAAATAATCCGCGACTAGTTATGGTAAAACCGATTTTTGACGTAACTTTAGAACACACAGCATTCTCTTATCGCCCTATTATCATTGTTATCAATATGTGTGAGCTTTTCTTAGCTTTTATGTGCCAGTTATGAAACAAATGCTAATTGCAGCTTGCGATATACAAGTTTGAATTAAATAATCATGTTCACAACACCCACCACCCGCAAATCTGTGTCATGAACACTAAAAGCCAATTAGAGCATTAGAAAATTGAATTCCAGTCCAGGAATCTCCAGAGCATAACTGTGCATCTATAAAAGGGATCGGAATTAACCGATGCGCCGGCGGTAACTATTTTCGTATCCAACCCGAGATCGACTAAGGAAACCGAATGGAACGCATACAAATGCATGTGCATTATGCTTTATGAATAATAGATTATCTATAGGGAAAAGAGCGGAAACTGACAGGTTATCCTAGTACCATAACACCGTACGATTGTAACTGATAAGTTTGATGTTCTCATTGCGAATAATTTGTTTTATAGCATAGATGTTTCGTACCAAATGTGGAAGTTATGAAATCACCTTTCGGCACGGAAGGTTAAAGGTGTGAGCGGTCTTTGCATAATGTTATGTTTACTTAAATTTCACTGCACTCGAAAACAACCTACGCACGAAGCTATCGCCTCTTAGAATCAACTTAAAACTGAGCGACTGCTTTGATGGCAATTAAGTCTATGATTTCTGTGAGTGCTTATCACATTAACTACGTATACGAAAATATTGCAGTTGATATGAAGTGTTAATAAAAGCGTGTTTTTCATTTTTTGTTTGATTGATTTATAAGTAATCTTACAGCTATACATATTATAAAAAAGAACACATACAATACAATATACAAAAACAAAACAGATAAAATTCTCAATAAATCAATTAAG